GCCTATATCTGAAAATATTAAATCCTAAAAAATGTTTTGACACCTAAAACCCCATAAACACTCAATACTAAACACTAATAGAACATAATTAACCCAAACATAAATAATATAAAGAAAAAATAATTTTGAAAAGTGGTATTTTTGTAAAGATTTTAAAAATGTGGTATTTTTGTAAAGTGGCATTTGAAAAATGGCATTTTTTAAAATTTCTCAAAAAAATATGCATGATTGTCAGCTTATATATATGTCGGATATTAACATGATAATAATACTTTAAGTGCTATTGTGAAAATTACAGACTTTTTTTGTTTTTGATCTTTGTATTTGTGTTGAATTAAAAAATTAATGGTGGATAACAATATGCAAAATTTTAGTAGTAGTGGAAAAAATAGTTTTACACATTATCAAAATAAGCATCAGGAACATGAAAGAATTTGTAAATTTAGTTATTTTTTTTGTTTTGACAATTATATAAACTCATTTAACTATAGCAATTATTTATATTTGTTTTGTTTTTTCTTCTTCGGTTTCTTTCTTCCGCTTTTTTTTTATCACCATCGTTTTCTCTGTCTTATCCGGCGGTTTATATTTTTATTTTTATTTTATGATTTTTTCTTGTTCCTCATTGCGTGTTTCTCTTCAATTTTTTTTCTCCTCTATTTATCTTCCTTCTTGTTGTTCTACGTTTTTTTATGTTCTCTTTGTAATTATTATTTGTAGTCAAAATTACAATTTTTTTTTTTCACTTTTGCCTTCGTCTTCGGTTTATCTTTCTTATTCTTCCAAATTTATTTGTCCAATTTATTCACCATTTTTCTTCATTGTCTTTTTGTCTTATTCTTGCATATATTTTTTTTTTCCTTCTAGTTACTTACAGAAAAGAGCCTTCAAATCTTTTACATATGTAATTATCAATACCTGATTCTTTAGATCTGCAAAAAAATAATATATATAATATTTTTTGCATATAACGAAAAAATGAATAAAATTTCAAAAACTCACTTGAAAATTCTAATTTTAGTTTGTAAAGACATTGGCTCCATAAACTCACTTGAAAATGCTAATTTTAGTTTGTAAAGACGTTGGCTCCATAGGAGCCACCAATTTATTAAATATCGAGGGTTATTTGAACTTTTGGAAGCAAAACCCATACACAAAGAGAATTTTGTATTTTATGTGAATTCAAGTTTTAGCGGAAACGTGATTGTTTCAAATATATATATGCTTGAACGGTATTTGAGTATTTGAGTATTGGCTAATTATGTGTACTTAAATATCCGATTTTTAATTAAGATTCACACAAACATAATTTTTAATTTAGAGCTTTGATATCGTCCAAGTGAGTCTTTTTTCTCTGTCTTCTTCATCAACTTCTAATAGTATAAACTCCAAACTGAAATCATTATATTGAATTATCATGAAACCAAACAAAATGATTATTTTTTCTTGTTTCTAGGTGATTCACATGCATCATGCTCATATATGAAAAATTTGTAATCTCCGTCAATGAAAATAAGCATTTGTTTCTTTTTATCATTCGTTATATTTTTTTTTATTTTGACATTTAAATAAACTATGTTAGTTGTAGTAATTATCTGCGTTTTTTTCTTGATCTTTATTTATTTTTTCTTCTTCCAATTGTTCATTTTTTGTTATTATTTTCATAGTTTTTGTCTTTACTATCTTATCTGACTTCTTCTTTTTTTCTTCTTCAAAATGGGTCAAATCAGATCTCAAAAGGTTTGAATTCGGTTCATAGATCATGGTAACAATTTTCATGAATTATATATGCCAAAAATATAGAATTACTAATATATGGGCAAGCAATCATCGTTTATTAAATTAATAGTGGATGCTAAATTAACTTATTAATGAGAAACTTAATCACAAGTTTTAATGAGGTACCATAATCAAAGTTCAAGAAACTTGTTTATAGTATGATAAAATCAGTGTTAATAGTTTAAATTATTTTAAATTAATGTCACAAATGAAAAATTTAATGAAGTAAATAGAAATATAAATCACGACTTCACCTAATACAAAAAATATTGAAAAGTAACATTAAAATCTCATTATATATTTAGGGCATATTTACACAAGAAAATTATAGATATTTTAATAGAGTACGAAATACTAAATTCCGGAGACTATTTTTATTGAAATTATGGTATTTTAGTGTATATTAAAATTGTAAAAACTACTTTAATTAATTGTTTTGCTATTAAAGTGAGTTAATGTCAATAAAAATGATCCATTATTCTCCAATGAGAGGTAAACATCTAATTGCCGTTTTATTTTATTTTAATATGTTATTTAGTTGCTAAAACTTCGAGGACAAATAAAATATTTAATTAGATCTTTGCCGATTTTTTTATTTATCTAGTTATGAATCAAAAATCAAGTAAAGTTATGCATTTAAAAATAACAATAATTTAATTAAGTAATAATTTATTTAATTAGTTTAATACATTTTATATTTTTCAAAGACATGTCATCGTTTCAAACCAATTAAATTAAAAGACCTAAGCTAAATAAATAATAGTACTTTGATTTTAATAGTAAAAGGATTTAATATGTTCCTTCGGATAAAAAAAATATTATAGATTTTGAATAACATTTATTATGATAGCCTAACAAAATCATTTTCAACAACTATTTATAGATTTTGATGGTAGTAAAATCTATTTGGAATATTAATGTGTATTGGTTATTATTTATGGAATATAACATCTTATCATTTATAAGGGGTTTGATTTTCTATAGCCAATAATTTTTTTTTATATATTATGTAATATAATTTTAGATAAAATTGAGTATAATATTAGGCGAATAAAATATTATTTTAATATTTTTGTTTTATAAAATCGTTGATAATGTTTTTAAAATTTCCTATTGGTTATTATTTTTTTTTTAAACGAAGAAATTGGTTGTTAGTTTAAAAAATACGGACCTGAGAATTGTTAATAGTATTTTATTTTTAAAAATCATAATAATATTTGTTTTAAAAGAAATTTCGTAATGGTTTTAATTAGAAAAAAAATCGAAATTTAAATTATAATTTTCAAAATTTATATGGTAATTTATTTTGTGATAAAAAATTAGTATTAAAAGAGTAATTAGAAATTAAAACTATGTCATCTTTTTTCAAAAACATGTCATCATTTTTTCAAGACAAGTCATAGTTTCAAACCAATAAAATTATAACAAACAACCATTTTCACTAATTGCACTTTCCTTTTTCCTTATGATAGTAAAGGATAAGGTAATAACAATAAATCAACGACGGCATATTTCAATCTTTCGCGCTGAAGTAATTGTAATGCTCATTTTTTATATGTCGTAACTCGTTTGAGAAAAAAACAATAATTTTCATTTCATGATAATGAAACTCATTATAGTTATAAAAACAATATTTTCATGCAAACCTATTACAACAAAATGTATAGAAATCTTTAATCACCTAAATAAATACCTTTTTTTATTATCATGTTTGGCTGCATATATAACTATTCATATATCTTATTTGCATAATTAAGTCTTTTTAACTAATTCACCACATATATAACTATTCATATATCTTATTTTCTTATGGAAACACATAATAATCTATAATTAAATATTATTCATGTATTTTTGTTGAAACTGTCACACCGTGATACCGGTAAACAATTTTTTTGGGTCCGCACGTATATCCAGAGAAATGAATACAACCGCATATACACTTTAATTTTGATAACAAACC